TACTCAATGTTCTATATAAATAACATTTTTGAACCTACTCAATGTTCTATATAAATAACATTTTTGAACCTACTCAATGTTCTATATAAATAACATTTTTGTACTTACTCAATGTTCTATATAAATAACATTTAATACTGTAGAACAGTTCTACAACACTATGAATTTGGGCAACTTTTAAAACCCAACTATTTTAGTGCTAAAGTTAAAGAAGCTTGCAAAGTTTATCCCATTTCCCTCAAGTTACTCAATGATTGATGGCTTACTTATGTAGAGTTAACATTTTAATTCAATGCCAAGTTAGAAGTTCAGATTTCACTTTTGCAGCTTAAGTTTTTGGTTAAAATATAAATTTCTAAGTAAAAATATGTCACTAATTCACTCGTATTACTTTGAATAGACATTACAACGAATACTGAAATCTAGACTGCAAACAACAGTCTTCATAACTTGTAATAAGCAAGCGTCGTATACGTTAATATACTTTCTTAATTATAGTTTTTGTTGGTATTGGTTAAATTTTGTTTTAATGTAAGTTTGGAATAATGTAATATAATAAGTTTAATATATGTGTGTGGGGGGAAGTGGGAGAGTAAATATTTCAGATTTAAATACCTGACTGTTTTATTAATAAATTTTACATTATATTTTAGGATTAAAATAATTTCAAACAGGTACTTAGATCTGAACAAGACTTTGTTTTTAGGTAGGAAAGTAAAAAAATCCAATTATAATTAAATATTTGAACAAGAAGATTTGAAGGAGATCAATGTAAGTATTAAATTGTGACTGCTGTATGACAGACTACCTATCTCTGGTGATTCCTAATTCTAAAAATTTAATTTTTATTTTGTCACACCAGGGAAAACAAGTATAAGTATTCCTAGCAGGTTTTGTATGCGATTAAGGTAGAGCAGATGGTCATTTTGAAGAGGAATGACGACCATAAGTAAAACAAGATATTAATATCCTAATCAACTTTTGCTTCTAGTGAAATAATGGGAGTGAAGAAGAATAGCTTACAATACAGCACGATGAACTTGTGCTAAATGAACATAAGAGCCACGTGATAGCAGAAACAATAAAGACCACAAAGTAGATATATTAACCTAAAACAATCAGGAGTATGAGTTTGTTTGTTTGAATTTTGCACAAAGCTACACGAGGGCTATCTGCACTAGCTGTCCCTAATTTAGCAGTGAAAAACTCAAAGGCAAGTAGCTGTGTTCATTCTAGAATGAAAGAGGCATAATTTATATTTATTTCCTAATTATTTTATGGTGGTTGCGAGATCGATCAAATCTACCAAACCCATACAGAGATTAATTACTGAAAATAACAGATAATATATAAAGTTGAATCTAAGTTTTAAATGGACAGCAACTGCCTGTTGTAGAAAAACTAAAAATGTAGAGGACAACGTTTCAAAAGTCTTCTGCCTTTCATCTTCAGGCAGTTGCTGTCTATTTGAAACTTAGATTCATTATGAATACTCTGCCTAAACAACCTATCAAAGAATATCTAAAGTTTTTTTGTAAGAAACATTTAATAACTGTCTGGACATTATAAAGATTTCGCATATGAAATTTGAAAATTTTCTGATCCATAAAAGT